AGAGAGAGAGAGAGAGAGAGAGAGAGAGAGAGAGAGAGAGAGAGAGAGAAACTGTGTTGTATGATGATGGGGAACATACAACAACAACAATTGAAAGACGAGAATATAATTTATGTGCCACTTGCACACTCTTGATTTATGAAGATCGATTGGTTTCGGATTTGCCCACAATATTTACGTAAATCAATCTTTATCAGTTTCATTTGTAATTTTCACGTACATTCGCGTATCGCATGACTCAATTGGCTGGAGTGTGTGCTGTTTTTTCTCATTCATTCACGTTATTATATACGTCTATTATCTTTGTTCTCCGTGCCGTGTATTGTTTGTTGTATATATTTTAATTTATTATCCATCAAAAGTCTAAATTTAGCGTACTTTGAACGGGAATGAATGATTTTTTGTTTGTTTCGGTTTGAAATCTTAAAATGAAATTCAATGGAAACAGAACGAGAGAGAGAGAGAGAGAGGGAGAAAAAAACAGCAAAATCATTATCAACATCATCAATCAAATTTGTATCAACGAAATGCCAGCGAACAGTTTTTTTTTCGTGTGTATTCAAGTCAGAAATGCAACGAAAACACATTGCTCATTGGCGATGATGTTTCGGGAAATTATAACTTGAATATTTTTGCGTTGATTCTTTTTTCCATTTATGTCGATGAATGCCCGAACGAGAAAATTCAAAAGCCATCATCAAGAACGGGAAACGAGACCAAAACACAAACACGCATCCATGAAACACGAACAATAATAAAGAAGAAAAAAATATGAACAACAGCCAACATCAAAACAATAACATATAATCTTGACAGTAACATGACTTTACCCCATCGAATTTTGGTATATTGTAAATACATTCATACATGTACGTATATAGCATACATCGTTGAATGCACGATTTCAAGTGAATTATGTCATATTTTGTGTGATGGGTGGAATGACGGTGTGAGTGTTGTTTGGCCGATGAACGGGAGCGCGTACCACAGCATGTATACGTGAACAACCGCAATTATATATGTGAATGCACTTCGCAATCATCAAAACAATGAGCGCCGACCACTATGAGCAGTTGTGCATCGATATAACTAACTGCAATGCCAAGCGCATACATGTTTACAAATATGACGGCCAACACAAAATAACATTAATCGCAATCGAATACACAAGAATTATTATGGATTGAAAATCAAAAACATGTTCGAAGACGATTGCATTTCGTCGAACTGAATCCAAAAATAGTACACAGAAAAGCGAAACGGAGGCTGGAAGAGAGAGAGAAGAGAGGAGGGAGCGGGAAATCATAGAAAATCGAAAAAAAAGTAAATATCAT